AGCCCCTGCGCCTCCGAGTGTGCACAGCTGTGCTCCCTCAGCGGAGGATCTGGCTGCAGGGTGGGCGGGGATCCAGGAAAGACAGTGGAGGTGAGGCATGTCCTCTGTACAGCGGGTGCCGGGCAGCGAGAATGAGCCCAGAGGACGCTGTGCCATCTGGCTCAGGAAAGCTGACTCTCGGCCCAGCACTTGGAGGGAGCGGGGGGTCACTTTTCAGCCTGCTGTGCGCTGGTCCTCTGAGGGCCACTTTCTGTGCTGCTCACTCACCCCACCTGCTAGTACGGTGCTGTGCACCACACACATGGTGAAGGCTGAGTACACAGTAACTGTGGTTTCCCTTTCACACAAGCTCTGCCGTGAGGGTCTTAGATATGAACTGGGAGGAGAAGGGATCGTTGTCCTATTGTGTGGAGAACCCGGCTGTGGCTGCCTAGCTAGGAGGTGTCTGAGACAAGCTTCGCGCTGAGGGCGGGTGTGACAGGGACACCAAGCCACTCACCCGCTGTGAGCCCATGAGCAGGCCGGCTCCCCACTGAGTGACAGGCAGTACCGGTGCTGATGTTTTCCCCTCTGTCCAGACAGGAGGACTGCAGTGTCCAGGGGCACAGCACCTCGGCTGAGCTCCTACCATCAGGATGGCCCTGAGGCTCACGGACCTGGGGCGCGGTCCCAGGTACAGCCAGGTTCAGAGGGGCCCTGAGGGCTCTGGGTCAGTGGGTCGGGGTTCAGGGCTGGAGGAGGAGGCGCGGAGCCTCTGATGGACATGTGCTGTCCCCACCCCTTCCTCTCCTTGCCCTTTCCTGTTCCATCTGCTTCTGGCTGCTGTGAGGTGAGCAGCTGTCCTCGGCCAGACCCTTAGCTGCGGCTTCCTCCTTTGGGTCTGGACAACCACTGATGAAAACCTGGAACTGAGCCCAAATGAATAAGCAGTTCTTCCTTGCGGCTGTTTTCCTCGGGTGTCTGTCCACCGCTACCGAGTGCTGGCGAACACGTACACAGTGGAACAGGGCAGAGCTGGCCCAGCCTTGTTACCGGCTCTCAGCCAGCACGAGATATGCCGCGGGTCCCGTTACTTCCGCTCGGACGCTTCTCTTGACTCCTAGACTCCGTGTCCCCTGCCGGGGCCCACAGGACTCCCTCCCTTCTTCAGCACTCACCATGCAGTGCTGCAGTTCCTCAGGGTCTTTCTAGGGGTCATGGCCATGTGGACCCCGCTGTATGCTGCTAGTGTCACCTGCTCCCTGGCACAGACAGGTGCTAATGAGCGCACAGAAGAGACGCACAGTACTCCAGCTCCCAGGTGCCTCAGGGAGCTCAGAGGCAGAACCAGTCTTTGGGAGAAATAAAGCGATGACAGCTGCTTAAGGAACCAAGGGAAACTGGAAGGGCCCAGACTTCTGTCTGGCAGGTCAGTGGAAGAGAAACCTGCATTCCCGGGACTTCCTCCTTAGCCTGGGAAGCCTTTCCAGAGGTTCGGAAGATGCCTGCTTGTATCTCACTGGCCAGGACTGGACCCAGTGGCTGTTCCAGAGCAGTTTACACAGCAGGAGGGGTCACCAGGGGAATGCATGCTGGAAATGCAGCCCCTAGCATCCCCTGGGACAGACCTTCCTCTCGCCTCCTCTTCGGCACAGCAGGTAGGGTGCCACCTCCTTTCCTGACAGACAGGGAGGCTCAGGACCTCTGCCCCTGGACAGTGCTGGCCACATCCCGGAGTCTGTTACCCTGTGTCTTTGTCCTCCACAGGGGACCAGTAGGGCCTCCCACTGTCTGAACCCCCATAAATGGCTTTTCCTCACAACCATCTGCCAGAGCTGTGCGACTGATGTCCACGCCCCATTATTCCTGCTCATTCTTTGCACCTGCTGGCTGTGGGTTCTTCCTGCCTTGACCTTCCTCTTACAACCGGATGATGGGAAGCCAATGAGGCAGCCAGGAAACAAGCAGCTCAAGGGAAGCAACGACACCAGGGCCAGTGCCCTCCTCTGCGACAGTCAGACAGCTTTGTCACATGGGGCTCTGAGCCCAGAACTTCTGTGACCCAGAAAAGCAATGACTGCCTTTGCTGTCTGTCTCTGCGACTCAGTCCCAGGAGCCCGACTGAGTCGGTGACAGAACAGTGACATCTGTATTCACACACAGCACACCTCTTCTGGCTCTGCCTCCCTCCATTCCTGCCTCCCTCCCTCCTCCCTCTCTGCCTCCTTCCCTCCCTGCCTTCCTCCTTTCCTGCCTCCCTCCTTTCTTTTCTCATATGAGCACTGCCTTTTGGTCCAACATCTTCTGAGGGCTCTCGCAGGCCAGTCTGGGAGTCTAGATGAGAGCTCAGTCCCTGCACCCAGGAGCCGCAGCAAAGTCCTGGTGACCACATGGACATAGAGAGACTGCCACGAAGGAGTGGACACCAAGGTGCCCTTGGCCCAGGGCTGGCTGGGCCAGCTCTGCCATGTGGTTCACGCTGGAGATGGAGGTGATGCGTGTGGGCTCCTGTGGTAGAAGCAGGGTGGGGCGTGCAGGGAGGAGCATCGGCTCAGGCAGTGCACACAGAGGGCCAGGTGAGAGGAGCAGGGCAGCCAGGAGAGCCCGAGAAGACACGCAGTCTTCCAAAAGAGGTGCCGAGGGCATAGAAAACGGTGGTAATCCATGAACATTTGTGCCAGAAAGGCCCCTGATTCCGTCACTTGTACTTTCCTTTCTTACTGATGTTAATCATCACTAACTGAAAACAAGAGAAGACCCCATTCAGGATGAAGAGACAAATGGCGAGCAGGGAAATGGTCCCAGTATTAAATCAGAGAAAGCTTGCTGTGTAAACAATATCTCTAAGCTGGTTGTGGTGGTGCATGCCTATGATCACAGCACTCAGGGTGGCGGAGGCAGAAGGATCACGAGGTCTAAGCCAGCCAGGCAACTTAGCGACTCAGGGAGGACTTGTCTCAAAATAAAAAAAAATTATAAAAGGGAAAAAGGGCTGAGGATGCAGATCTGTGTGAAGGCCTTGGGTTCAATCCCAAGTACTGAAAAAGAAAGAAAGAAAGAAAGAAAGAAAGAAAGAAAGAAAGAAAGAAAGAAAGAAAGAAAGAAAGAAAGAAACAGGCTTAAAGACAGTAGAGAAGATGAAAACATTTAAACAGATAGAAGCACATAAATGTTTGAAAAACCGCAAAAATTATAATGTTTGCATAAGATGTGTTCTAATGGCTTGTAGTGAGATACGAATTAAAACACAGATGATATATTACGCATGCGTGTTTGCCCATCGTCTTTGTGTGCACACACAGTGAGCATGGCTAGCACAGCCAGGGACTTTCTTTGATCTGATCTTCAGGCCTCTAAAAACATTTTTTGCCTAGTAAGCTTGGAATTAAGGTTTATTTATCCTTACGTAAAAGAGGCACAAAAAGGAATCTATTCTAGTATTGGAAAAAAGAAAGAAGGAAAAGAGGAAGAGAGAGAAGCAAGAGCCAGGGCCAGAGTGTGCAGCTGCAGTGACTACCGGCTCTAGTCAGGGCTGACCCTCAGGCACCCTTGGGCGGGGCCTAAGGTAGGGCCGACTCCCCCAGAGAGAAGCCGGCCCTCCCCTGGCTTCCTGACAGACAGGATGCGCCTGGAGAAGCTCGAGGTTTAGGGAAGTCAGGTCCGAGTTCTCCGGGTCCCCAGGGCCAGGGAGAGGCCTGGCACAGGCCCCAGTTTGCCATTTGATTAGAGTCCAGGGAACCGGGTTTTGAAGTCATTTCCCTTAAGCAGCAAACAAGTGATGTTTTACCCTTCAGACACTAAGCCAATGCAGAAGCCAAGCTGCAAGATTCTGGGAGAAGCCCTGGGTGAAAAGCAGCCTGGATGGGAAAGCAATTCCAGATAGATCTGGCCAGACCTGGACACTGAATTGAGCGGGAGCCTAGTTTTCCTGAGCTAATGGAAAATCAATCAGGAGTAAAGCCAGGACACGCACTGCCTCCAAAATCAATGCCTTGGTATGAACTGCTTGTCTTAGTTACTTGCTTGTTGCTAGGACAAAAAAGCCAACATCCACAGGTTAAAGGAGGAAATGTTTATTATAACTCAGTGTGTAGAGGTTTTAGCCCATAGTCAGCTGGCTCCAAAGCTGGGCAGCACGGCGGAGGAGAAACAGTCCATAGTAAGGCAAGCAGGAAGCAGGAAGCAGTGAGCCTTCTGGACTTTTATCCCACTCAGGTTATCAGTCTATTGATCGGTGCTGCCCACACTTAGAACTATGCTAAACCAACCAGTGTGCAGACCCAGTTATCACACACCCTTGATTCATATTCACACACCCCAGATCCAACCACCTCCAAAAGCCCCACCTATGAGCACATGGGGCTCTGGGGAGACACCTAGATGTTAGCCATAACACCACTGCTTCCCAAGGCTTCTGATTTTTTATTTTGAGATACTGTCTTCCTAAGTCACTAAGTTGCCAAGGCTGGGCTTGAACTTATGATCCTCCTGCCTCAGCCTCCCAGAAGGCACCACCACACCCAACCCAAATGCTCTCTTCTCCCTGCGTCTGGCTCATCTCCTCCTCCAAGGTCTTCTGACATTGCTGTGACTCACCTTGGATTCCCTAACCTTCACCTCCTCCCTGAGTGACCTTCACTTTTCCTTCAAGCACTGTGGCAGCCGTGGCTTGGTGGAAGGACGCAGTTGTAGGAAAAACGTGCATGTGCCCTTGCTGCCTCATGAGGACTGGGGAGCACTCAGCAGAGCTGCAGGCCTGGCTTTTGGGGCCACACTGTCTCCGCCTAGTGTGACCCCGAAGGTGCCAGCCATTCAGTCTCTGAGCCCTGATCCAGCTCTCGAGAGCAGTGTAGGCATCGGTCAGTGCGCTGAGGATGCTTCCCCACTTTGGTATTTTAAGAGACTGAACATGATCAAAGGAGGAAACAGACTCCCATTGCATCGGGGACACTTGAAAAATATTCATGCAGTTTAATAATCAAAGAGATACATATTAAAGCAGTGAGAAGATGGGCATAGCGTCTCACACCTGTAATGCCAGCATTCTGGGAGGCTGAGGCAGGAAGATTGCAAGTTCAAGGCCAGCCTGGGCAAATTCATGAATTAGCAAGATTCTGTCTCAAAATTAGAGCCAAAAAATAAAGGGATGGAGATGTAGCTCAGTGTGATGGCCTAGGATTCGATCCCCAGTACTACAACATCAACAACAAAGGCAAAACAATGAGATCCATTTTCTCAACGTTCTGGGCTATACCTTTTCTAGGAATTACTTTGTGAATAAGCTTCGAAAGTCTTAAAAGGAGCGTCACCTTTGAAGGAGAAGTTCCGCGCAATGCCTTCCGAGGAAACAGCTCAAGCCGAACAAACACTTCCCCCACCAGGATGGTTACCAGAGCTCTGTTCACCGTAGCCAAGCCCAGGGGCTCACCTCCGCCCAGCAGGGGTGGGGGCCCTGGAGGCCGGGTGCACTTGGCCCACATACATATGTGACCCGTGTGTAGCGAGGCAGCTGCTTCAGGAGTGACCGCAGGTCACCACCGTGGTGGAGGTCTCTGCCGAGACCCGTGGCCCACACTGGTCGGGGCCAGGCAGACGCCCCACGACTCAGTCCTTACGCCTGGCCTGCCCCGGCTGGCCCCTCTCCTCCGGTGGCCTCTAGGAGCCCTTCCTCGGATCCCCCACGCCAGTTAGTAGGTTGGGAAGGAGCCGCTCCTGGTTTCCTTGTCAGTCCTCATCCCCAGGGCGGTACTGCCTCGCGTGGAAAGGCTGAGTGACACCCAGAAAGGACAGCGCACGACGCCAACCCGGCCTCTCACCCCCGGGATCTGGGCCGCTCACGCAGTCTCCGAGGCGCTTGCTCACAGCCCTGCGGTGTGGACGGCCGCCGTCGGAGGGCCAGGTCTGAGCCGGACACCGTCCCGCCTACCTGATGACGGTCAGCGGGAGAAGAACGCCAGGAAGGCCACCACCGTCATGTACGGCGTCCAGTAGGAGTCGTCGGGCCACAGAGCCCAGCCCTGCGCCTCGCCGTTGGACAGCGTCCTCGTCCCGAATAGGACCAGCGTGGGGATGGAGAACAGGAAGGCCAGGCTCCAGGCCACCCCACGAGGACCTTGGCTTGCTTTTCTGCTCGAGAGAAGAGCAGAGCGGGACGTGGGCAACCGGCAGTCCCGAGCTCACCCGCAGCCTCCGGTTCCCCGGGTAGGGTGACGCGCAAGAGCGAGGCCCCTCCTGCCAGCTCGCTGCGCGGCTGGTACGACCTCCTGCCTGGGCCCGCGCATCCTGTCCTGCCGCTTCCGTCCCGGGTCTCCTTTCCTTCGCCTGCTTTTACTTGGCTGTTCTCAATCCTTGCCGAAGGTCTTTACAAGAAGGGGGTTAGCGCTTGGCCTGATAGGCATGGATATTTTCCGTTTGTTCTTTGGCCTTTTGATGAACATGTTTACTATTTTTGTCAAATAGTTTATAATAATTTTGACGTAAAAGATCCATCTTTATTTCACTTATTGTTTCTATTTTTGGTATGATTTCTAGAAAGACTTTTCCCTCACTAAGATTACAAAGGTTTTATTCTTATTCTTTTAGTAGTTTTATGTTTAAAATAGCTAACTTTTTCAGTCCAACTGGAGCCTATTTTATGATCAGCTGTGGCATGTGGTGCTTTAATATTTTAAAAAATGCCCAGAGAGCTCTTCCACATGAACTAACTCTTTTCCAACCGATTTGAAATTTCATATGCTTTACAGATACTACTCTGGTTCAGCACTATGTTGTTTTAATCAGCAAAATTTAATGCTACATTTTACTGTCTGACAAGCGTATTTCTCTTCACCACTACTGATATCTTCCTAATTATTCTTATGTTTCTTTCTTCTAAAGAGCAGTATAATCATCAGCTTCTCTCGACTCGCTAGCTCAGGAAACCACCACTTTAGTAAAAAGCAGTAAGAAGCAACTATGCTATCCGCTGTATCTATGTCAGCTTATATCCCTGTCGATGGTGACTAAAAGTACCACATCCCACTACCATCCCTTAAATTTATTCTAAAGTGCTGCTTGTTCTATTAGCTTTGTTTTCCTTAGGTGTAAATCCTTGGAATGCTACTTTTTTTGAGATACTAAAGACTGAACTCAGAGCCTTCACACTGAGACACATCCCAGCCCTTGTTTGTCATTGATTTTGAGACTGGATCCAGCTATGTGGCTAAATTGCCCAGGCTAGGATTGAACTTGGGATCGTCCTGTCTCAGCCTCCCAGAGTGCTGTGATTACAGGTGTGCAGTACTACACCTGGTTTAGAATGCCTTTTAAATACATTTGGTATCTATTCCCTCAGTTTGCCTTGGTTGCGTTTGAAGTAGTGTTTGGTTGCTCCTTACGGTGGAGTCCTGCTTTCCCGCAAGGGTTCCCCCACTGTGTCTGTCCGCACAGGGCCCACAGTGACCGTGGCGGGAGGGCTCCACCTGCAGGCACAATGACACAGGCGGCGAAAGGGCTCCCTCTCCCAGCCTCCACTCTGCTGCAAAACCAGCAGCCTCCTGAGAATGGGGCCTGGCCGGGGACCCCGTGCCCAATGGAAGAGCATGCTGGGCCCTCCTGCAGCTGTGACCCCTGCTCCGGGCAGTCACAGGTCCTCTGGGACGTCTGGCTGCGCTCTCTGACACAACCCTGCTTCCTTCAGGGAGCCCACTCTCTGGATGAGGAGGACTTCTTCTGGTTTTGGCATGATAATCAACAAAACGCTCTCTCCAGTCTCCAGGGCTTTTGCACAGGCTGCAGCGTGGTGCAAGCCCCCTACCCCTGTGCGTGAGTGCCGCTCAGCACGGCTCTAGGCACGGGAGGAAGCTGGGTGTCAGGGGACAGGCACAGCACAGTCCTGGCAGCTCGGCACTCCTGAGTCCCAGCTGCGGTCCCAGGCACCTCGGCGTTCCTCCTGACACCCAGTACAGGGACACGAGGAAGCCGGAAAGGGTTGGGGGAGGAGAGGGAAGGGAAGAGAGGAACAGGAGGGGCCTTGTTAGGAATCAGGTCGTGACGGGAGAGTGCCGCAGTCTCCCGGACCGCTCCTTAAGACAGGCCTTTTGCACATGGGGAGGGACCCGGGGATGCAGGAAGGAAAGGGAGGAGAGGAGACGGGCAGGAAGGAAGTGAGGGGCTGCGCTCGCACACCAGCTCTTCCGGCGGAAAGCCATCATTGTGCACCGCAAGACGCCCTCACAAACACCACAGATGGAAAGAAAAAATAAAAAGAAAGCGAGAATGAGCACAACTCACCTCCCTGCAGAAACTTCATGGGGTGCACAGTGGCGTGGTACCTGTCGATGCCGAGGGACACCAGGACGTAGCTGGAGGCGTAGAGCAAAACAACCTGAGGACCCCAGGAGAGGGGCGCTCTGAGCAGCTCTGGCGGGCGAGGGGTACAGGGGGCTGGGTGCCGCTCTGCCCCTCCGGCTCTGGGCGCTGGGGCTGCGCGGCTCCTGGCCGACATGCCAGGACTTCCGAGTCTCCCTCTCCACCGGCTTCTCGGAAATCCCGCACGTCAGACCCATCCTTCTTGGTATCTGCATGGTACCTTTAACTGTAGTTGACTTCTAAACCCATACTGATTTCCTCTGCCACAATAGATATCCCAGAAGAATTAGAAACAAAAGTTTGTTTGCCTTTTATCAGTGTGAGTAGTTGAGAGATGATGGAAGGTTCTGTTTGTAGGCGGCCAAGCACTATTTGGGTCTTGTCATGGTCACGGCCACGGCCAAAGGTCCCCTGCTCCGTCCCCTCCTTCCTCCCTTCCTCCCTCCCAGCTCTGGCCCCTCCTCCACCCACTGCTCCATCTCCTCCTCCACCCGCTCTTCCATCTGCTCCTCCATCCCCTCCTCTTTCCTGGCCTCCTCCCTCTCACTCCTACTAATCTGACTCGCACCCGCTAATTATCTGTGTGAGGACTATCTATAAACCTCACAGAAGAGCACATCAGGATGTGAGAAGTTAATATCTCTTCTGCCAGAGGTGTACTTGAAATATAATTAAATGAGATGTCTCCTAAAGAATGATCATAGTGGAAATTTTCTAGCTTAATTTCTACTGAAGGTCTAGTTAGAGCAATGCTTTGTAAATTTAAGGTTAAGTCCAGAGGGATAGAAGAGTAACAGGAAGACTGAAGTCCCCAGGTGAGCACTCGCCTTTGTTCTGGATGTGTGCACGTTTGTTCTTTGCCCGGCTCACACAGCAGCACCCTAATGAATTTTCTCCTGGACTTAGGGTGCAGCTATGTCATGATAAACCCACTGCAAGTGGGAAATAGAATAAAGTGGTAATGCCTGTGCCTCACCTAACCCACTGAGCATCTGTTGCTTGCCTTATATGTGCTCAGAACATACAGCTGGGCAAAATAAGCGCAAGGCCCATTTTGTAGTAGTGTTGACACCTTCTGAAGTTTGGTTCTGGACTGAAATGAAAAGCACAGTAGTTGCATGATAATGCGTTTGCATGGTGCTAAGGTCTAAAAGTCAAATTGAATCGTCAGAAGTCAGAGCCCAACCTCTGGATGCGGCCATTCCTTTTTATTTTTGCCTCTGCGACACAATCACACGTATGTCTCGGCACTAATGAGGAAGGTGCTGTAGGAAGGACCAGAGACTGAAGGATCCCAGGGGCTGGAGAAAGAAATTCTTTTCTTGTGCAAAAGGTGACAAATGGAGAGGGAGAAAATGGATGTTTAAGTTTAAGGAATAAATTCAACAACGGTTTCTGTAGAGAAAAACAAGGTTCCTAAGTGTGATCTGTGAATTCAGCATTGTTTAACCCTGGTCACACCCAACTGGGGATGGTTCAGAGAAGGGTGCAGGAGACAGCATGCCATGCAGTGGAAAGACATAGGAGCCTGGGACATGGGGCTGTCCCGAGTGAGTGGCTGGCGTTCAGGGCCTATGGCAGGAGGAAATGTCAGCAAAAGTGTGTCCGGGCAGCGGGCAATTAACAGAGAGGTCAGCGTTGTGACCCAACAGTAAAGGGTAGTTACTTTCAGAGATTATATATCTTCGGACATCGAGGCAGGGTAAAAAAATGAAAGGTGATCTAAAGGAAGTTCACCTGAGGTTATGCCGCTTCTCCACGGAGAGAGTGCCAGGGAGCAGCGCAAGAACAGGTTTAGAGTTGTGAAGGAAAAATGGTGCTCCAAGAACTTTGTAAATAACATTTCTGTGCCAAGCATGGCACTGTTTTTCAAAGATGTATAAGAAGGAAGAAAATAGAACCCTACACACCCTTCCTGAACATCCTCCTTGGGGGCTCTCAGCTGACAGAATTGTTTAAGAATTAGGCACTCAGGAAAGAGGATTAAATAATAGCAATGGTGTAAGTAATGAAGTTCATAAAATAATTATGGGTATTGTTACTGAACACTTTAGGGGAAAATCTGAGGAGTTGAGTCAGGGGAGAGAGAAAAAGAAAAGAAATCATGTGAATTTCTATTTATACGTTGTAGATACCACTTTTGTCTTATGCTGTGGTAGAGTTATATTAAATCCAAAAATTAAAGATAAACTATGGTAGAGTCAAATGAAAATGGGCAAAAATTAATGTGTTCATTTCTTTTGGCCACTATTGCAAAGTACCACAAGGTTGGTGCCTTAGAGCAATGTGAGTGAATTCTGTTATAGTTTCAGGCAGATCATTTCTACCAGGGCAAAATCAAGGTATTGACAGGGCCATGGTCCTTTGAGAGATGCCAGGGGAGAAGCTGTCACTTGTCCTTTCCAGCTTCAGGTAGCTGCTAGCATCCCTTTTCTTATGGACACTGCAGTCCAGTCTCTGAGGCCTCTGTGAGTCATATTTCCTTTTACCTCGCTCATGTGATTGCATTTAGGGCTCCCTGTGTTAATTCAGGACAATCTCACTTTTAAATTCTAAATTTAATCATGTACGCCAAGTCCCTTTTTGTCATAGAAGGGGACACACATAGTTTCCAGAGATGAAGATTTAGATATTCTTGTGTGTGGGGGGGTGCTGTTCAGCCTATCATAATTAAAAACTAAACAAGAAGACGGAAAAAGCAAAGCAAGAAATGCTCAGTGTAGAAATATTAAAAAGAGATGACTGACTAAAGTAATTCCAAACATTTCTCACAAGTGGGGAGAAGCTTAAGCTCCTCCACTAAGACAAAAAACTGTTTTAAAGAACTGTCCCTAAAATTCAACTGTGTACTTGTAGAACTCAGCTTTCTCATTGCTGTGACATAATAACCAGCACCCACAACTTAAAGGGAGAGAAGATGGATTTGGCTCAGGATTTTAAGGGATCTGTCCATGGCAGGGGCATCATAGTGGAAGGTGTTTCACCCATGGCAGCTGAGGAGCAGAGCAGGAGAGAAACAGGAGGGACCAGATGTAAACCCCATGTTCATACCTTCATGACCCCAGACACACCCAAGAGTGGGCTTTACTAATCTGGTGCAGTTAACAAAGCAGGATTAATGGTCATAATACTGTTTAGAAGAAAAATCACTGAAAATAAATGATATCAGTGTAAAAATAGATGGTCAAATGCACATTAAACAATTAAGTACTAAAAGAAGGCACATTATAATCCTGCTATAATTCAAGTTACGTTTAGGACACATAGCATTATATGTGATAGTGATTATTTATATTGGTAAAAGATATAACATAAAATGACAAGAGAATATTCACAAACTGGAAAGAGATCTGGGGATAGGTGGAGATGGAAGGGTGGGGAGAGGAAAGGGGAAATAAAAAATAATGAAGATGTGGCATAGAAAACAAAAAAGAATATTCATCAACTCACAACAAGTAACAAAACATTAAGATGTACAGCAAAAGTGTTCAAAATATTATAGAGGAAAAAAATAACAAAACCTATAGGAAGGGAAATTAAACTTTGTGACATAATGATATTATACATTATTATAAAATAGCTAGGTAACATTTCAAAAACTGGTTATATACTAATCTACTAAGAAAGAAAACCCTTCAACAGATTCCAAAAAGTAGAATTTATGCAATTCATATATTTCAAAAAGCAAGCAGTAAACTGAAATTAGTAACATGTTTCTTTTTTTTTAAATACCACTTGGAAATTTAAACATCCTTGCAATTAACTCAACTCAAGAAGGAAATCAAAGTACAATTATAATCAATTCATAAATGTCAACAATGAAAACTCTACATATCAACAACATATGGGACACCATTCGGAAAACAGACGGCAGCTTACAGGCATATGTCTGAATTCTCACCAACCCACCCCTTAATTTTGACAGAAATGACCTAGGAAATAGGAAACTAAAGAAAATTTTGCACAAAGAAGTGAGACTTAAGTGCTAGAAACCGAGAAATCTTACTTAGAAAAATACCAGATTGGACTCATATAAAGGAGGATTTCTGGACTGATGCAAAAATATGTACTTATTTTTAGGACAATTTTATATCTACAAAAATGTCCCTGCAGACAGGAGAATTTCTATACAGTATTATCCTCCTCCCACCTACACACTTTGGCTTCCTATTAACACCTTGCATCGGTGTGGTGCATTTGTTAAAAGTGATGAGTTAATACTGATACATGATTATTAACTAAACTCTATGGTTTATATTACAGTTCCCTCAGTGTGTTGTACCTTTCTACATATGGGTTTTGACAGCTGCATAGAGTTGTGTGTATACCGTTACAGGATGATGCAGAAAGCTTTATTGACTAAAAAATCCCCCATGCTTTTGTAACCTTTCTTCTAATCTTTGTAACCACTGACAGTTTAAGAAAACTATTATACACTTTTTCTTTTGGAGAATGTAGGAAGTACAGTGGCTAGACTTTCAGACTGCCTTCCTCCTCTTAACAATGTACATGTAAGATTCCACCACATCTTCCTTTGTCTCAGCTCCATTGTGTACATGTACCACAGTCTGTTTAGGCACTCAGATTTTGAGGGACCTTTTGGTTCCTTCCAGCTTGTGATGATTGTAATGAAGCTTCTATAAATATTCTTGTGCAGGTTTTTCTGTGGACATAAATTCCCAACCAAGTTGCACCAGTGCCTAAGATCACAGTTGCTGGATTATGCTTTGTAAGAATCTGCCTAATTATGTTCCAAAGCAACTGTATTATTTTGAAATCCAACCAGCAACACACGAGAAATTCTATTAATATACCGCTCATCAGCATTTGGTATGGTTGATTTTAAAGACATCTTAGATGTTATCTACTAGGTGTGTACTGATCTGTTATCTCATTGTTTTAATGTGCAATTCTCTGATGGCACATGATACTGAGTTTCTTTCTCCATGTGTTTGCCATCTTCTTTAGTTTAGTGTCGGTTCAGATCTTTTTCCCATTTAAAAAACATGAATTAAT